ATCGGGCTCGGGGGTGAATAGGTAAATGGATTTTGGTCCAAACCTCGAGTTATGACCAAGCGAGCCCGCGGCCGATTTTTGACTTTTTGGGGAAAAGTTTGGGAAATCTAAATTTATGCATCGTACTTGATTCCTTTAGCAGTATTTGATGTTATTGAGTTAATTATTGCTAGATACGAGTGGTTTGGAGGCGAATTCTAGGGGAAAGGCCTTGGTAGAGCTTTGAATTGACTGCGGAGTGAGGTAAATATTGTGTCTAACCTTGACTTGAGGGAATTAGGAACCCTCATACTATGTGTTATATGAATTCCATGTGAGCGGTGTATATACGAGGTGACAAGTGCTTATACGCCGCCAAATTATCTATTTTCCCTTATTTACTGCTTTCCCTTAGTTATTTCATTTCCTGTCATAACTTTTATATGCACTATATGCTTTCCATGCTTAATTGCTACTTGTTATTCAATATCCTCTTCTATTCACGATGTTAGTTCTTCCATAGTTTCATATATGGTGGGATCGGGTTGAGCGCTGCAACATATTTACATATATTATCTCCGTTGTTGATGTTACTTTGGTGGAACAAGGGAGGATTTGTGGTTTTTGGTGGGACCGGGTTGCGCGACGGAACAACCTATATGTTTTCATTTCTTGTGCTGTGTTGGTTTTCGGGTATTTGCATTCGAACTGTTAAAGATTGGTAATTCTGCACTACGCGGGTTTATTCTTGAGGCTGTGGTTATCATTTGCAGTTGACTATTTAATTCTCTTCAGTATTTCAATTATTCTATCAGCGTATAGGTTGTAGTGTAGGTGACCCGCCTTAGCCTCGTCACTACTTCGTCGAGGTTAGGCTCGGCACTTACCAGTACATGGGGTCGGTTGTACTGATACTACACTCTGGACACTATGCATTTTTGGAGTCCCAGCGGCGGCTACTAGAGAGCTCGGATTGGACAGTTTGTGGTTGAGGTACAACTACTCAGCGCCCGCAGCTCCTGAAGTCCCCTTTCTGTTTTTATTTAGTTGTGTATCTTCCTTTTGAACAGCTTTACCTTATTTCAGACCTTTGTATGTACTATTCTAGTAGCTCGTGCACTTGTGACACCCGGTTCAGGGATTTGTAGCAGATGTTTTACGGTTTTAACTTCCGCATTTACATTTTGATTATTTCAGTTATTTCAGTTCCTTATTTATGTTATCATTTTAGCTGTTGCAAGAAGTAAATTGTTCTAATGTTGGCTTGCCTAGCAAGTGAAATGTCAGGCGCCATCACGATCTCGGCGATGGGAATTCCGGGTCGTAACAACTTCTTCTTGAACAACAATTTATCATCTATGGGTTTGCAACCGGGTGGAAGATCTGTTAGGATCCAAGTATTATTTTTCATATTGACTCTATGGCATCTTGGATAGCTTCCTTCCATAATGGTGCATTTGGAGATTTCATGGCGTTATTAAAGTAGTGGGATCGTTTCCATATTATAACAATAAGGAATTTTATTTCTAGTTTTATCAATTTGACCCTTTCTACTAAATAGATGTAGACGTTCATCTCTATATTGCTTTTTTTTTTCAACTTCTCTTACTTCTTCTTACTTTCAACAATGTCGTCTTGATTTTTCACCATTTTTTAAAAACGATTTCGATTTGTTAGTGTAAGTTGAAACAACTTTGGA